GGGGGTGGGGTGGAGGGGTGGGGGTGGGGGTGGGGATGTGTCTTTACGTGGACGCATATGCATGCGTGTGCATGCGAGGGGTTTGAGGACAAAGGAGGAGTTGCAGTTTCGCTGGTTGTGTTGTTAAGGTAGAATACCACAGTGGCGGTGCTACTCGAAAAAATGAGTGACGTATGTCTCCTGTTGCTGCCGTTCGGTATGGTCGTGTTGTTCAGACGTCATTAATCGAGGCGACAAGCTACAATTTTAGTGAGCGCATGTATACAGAACAACGTGTGATGATGATTGAAGCACCATTTAAACGAATACATCGTACTCAAATCCGAAAGGCAGACATTTGAGATGCCCAAACGTTTTAGGGACGGCAGCACACTTTTATGTCAGTGACAGTTTCGGTTATAGGTGTTATTTATTCCGGAGCCAAGTGGTCGTTATCGAGAGCACTCAGCTCGTGGAACACTGAATTTGAAATCACTCAAGAGACAGAACTTTCTACAAGGCCCGTTTGTATTTTAATATAGCAGCAAGCTTTGGGTACTCACGTAGCCTTCAACCTTTAACCGACGCACCAGGCTGCTCAAGAATGGCTAGGTCCTATCAAAAAACAGTCCTAAAGTCCCGATAGCCGCACAAATGTGTCAGAAGGTAGCATCAAAAACAAAAATGGCGTTTCCGCCCCTTATAATCTTTGGTTCCTTCCGTGAAACTAAGAAACTTTCGCCTTGATTCGAATGCTAGCGGTGAAAATTGGCTGGTTTTCGCATTGCCTCGTGACTTAACTTTCATATTGGTGGCATGGTGTCCTATGCGACAAATGTAGGTCTCCTTTCTCCCTCAAAGTCTCAAGATCACTGCAGTGATTTAAATCTGGATTTGGGATACGGTTGTCTGGAAATCGAGGATAACATCGGTCCCATTGAATCGTCTTTGAGCGGAATCAGCACAGCCATTTCCGTCTTTTCGTTCATGGGAGAGGTCGCATCTTGTGAAGCACAAATCCCGAAGGCAAATCTTCCTGCCATAATGTTCACAGAAACAGTTCTGCGTTCAGCTAGCCACCATTAGCACTAGCATCGTTGCGGGGACCGATCGACCACATTTCTGTGTTTACCGTCCACATGCAAAGTGCGGCAAAACTGCATAAAAAGCTTGCACCGTGTAAATTCATTGAGAATGTTTACAGGCATTCCTAGCCTCACCCCACCAAATTTATTACCAAAGCCAAAAATGTGGTCATGAAGGTGGTCTAAATTCGTCGTTTTGCGAGGCAACTGCGTACCTCCTGGTCACGACTCCGAGTTCGTGAGCTACTTTATTCACAAAAAGTAGACGGAAAAAGCAGAAGAGATTTCTTACCTGATCTGTTAATTATTGCACTGGCTGTGTAGAAGAGGTTATAGCAAATGTCACTGAAGAAGCAGAACGCGTAGATTGAGTCGAGTAGAAGGGGCAGAACGTCAATACTCGCGACCGTCTCCTCTCTCATTGACCCTAAAAAGGATTAAAAGGCATTCCATTCAATGAAGAATATCTCTCACATCCGTCCAATGGGATTTTTCCAATTTCTAATTAAAAATGGTTCCGTTATTCATATTCACGTTTATTTAAAAAGTTACGAGAAGGAGCTACTTTTGCCCCCCAAATTTCTCTAGAAGATGTCACAAGGCATACTGGTCGGTAAATGCTTTAGCATTCGCGTCGAGGAAGCTCGTAAGGCTGTCAGAATAGGGATAGTTGACGACAGGCGAGACTAAAAGGCTCGTCTCAAGAATGATACCACAATACGCCTTGTAGTAAGTAGCAATTGTGGCCTCTTACACCCAAGTACACAACACACATTATGATCCAGCCTAAGCCCCGGTAGTTGAAACGGTAGGCAACTGTGGCAGTGGACATGTGAATGCAACAGCTTGGTGTAAAATTTTGCTTGTACACAAGAGCCAAAGCGTTAAACCTTCAGGTACTCCTACTTACGGAACACTTTAGGTACAGTTTGTAAGGTGATAGGGGACTTGGGGATGGTGAGACCCCCAAGAGGTGTAACCTATACAAGGGCAAGCCTGACGGTTTTCAGCCTATTGCGACAAAACCAATTCCGATGAGCATTCAAATCAATGCAGAAAAGGCTCAGTGGATGTGGTACCGACCTATCGAGAATCCACACACAAAACTATTCATAACCCTTGAGAGAGGGTCGGATGCCACATTGAGGTGACAGAAAAGAGCAGAATTTTATCACCGCCTGTGACAAAACCTAGCTGCACCACTTTAAGTGAACGTTGAAATGTGTATCGAAGCTGTGAAAGCATATGAAGGTCAGAATTCCACATCGGTATCGAAGTGAAGCCAGCTCATCCTTGACTTTTCATTAGTAATGTCAAACCTTCTGGTGCTTGTCAAATGCTAAGATGGGAATAAAATTATGGCAGTAGGGGGCTGAGCAGGAAAATGTCTGCGTTCTTCAATCCTTAAGATGTGCCGTTCCATTCCATAAACTCAAAAGTCCCTTTTTCCAGCATTAAATCAGTAGCTTCAAAACTATTATGAAACCATCCTTACTGACATTTTGAAATTCGTTATTCAAAGACTTTCAAAACTTACTTTGTGAGGCAAGAGCAGCGAGACACAGAGCGCCCTGATTAATAATACCCGGATGCTTAGGGAAATAGAACATTGCATCATAGACCAGTTTGAAGGCGTCCATTGCAATGAAACGTTTCGCGTTCACATCTACAGAAGTAAAGCAGTATGGTCTCCAACTTACGATCAATGCTAAGTTTCCATAGCACCGCCAGAGCGATTCGTAAGATGTTCGCATAACCCATATGGACACGCATTAGAGCCTTGGTGATAACCTCCGGGTATTCCATCTCACAGATCTTACGAATAATGGCTCCACACTTTGACCAATAGGCCAACTGCGACTCCAACTCCAGGTTGGTAAGTTGAAGAGGACAGAGAATGGCCTCTAGAAGAACTAATACATTTACATGGACCTGGACACTATCCATATGACGCTTGGCGAGCTTAGAGACGAGAGCCAAACTAGTCTCATTCCAGCAAGTGCTGTTATCGATCAGAGTGTCGTAGAACTCCGCGGAGGTTGGATCTTCCACACCACCGTCAGCAGCGATAGGGCGTGCTGCTTGAAGACGCATCTCTCCAACACTGGTGCAGTGCGCAAGGATGGCAAGACCGTGCTGAACGATTACGGGGTTCTCTTGGTGCACGAGGAAGATCCGCCACACGTGGAGGGGTAGGAGAGGATTTGTGGAGGCCTCATTACGACACTGTGTTTCAGCGATCCAGGATAACACACCTTCCACACAGTTCTCGTGTTCCAGTTGATCGACGAGGTAGTGAAGCATCGCGGACAGTCCGTGTTCGTAGGGAATGTTGCCTGAAGCATGAAATCTCTGTCAGGAGTATTCTGCAAGCATTTATACGCATCAAAATCGCGCCAACTGATTAATAAGTCTTAAAGGATACTTTTCCACAGAATATATACTCTCGTTTTTAACGCAAAAGATAACTTGCCCATGGTTTAACAAGTTCAAGCGTTTGAATATGACAGCATGACTGATGTGATACCTGACAGACAGAGTGAGAATGTACAACCGTGGCAGTTCTTACATATCTAGTCGACTTACTTTTCCCTCTTATACCCCAGAAGTCCAATGATTCGTAACTTTGTAGACCCAATTTAATTTCTACTTCCCGATACACGTGTAATTTCCTTCCAAATTTACTCCAATTCTCGCTGCATTTATTTACGGTAGTTTGATCAGTGGTGGAAGTCGCATTGAGTTTTGTTGCAAAAAGTGGAAACCCCTGGCACGAAATAAGGGCTATTTAAAAACAGCTACCCACCAAAGGCATAAACAACCAACTGTGTTATCCCTGACTCACATTCGCACAGCTGCTTCTCTAGGCGCTGCCGTCTCAGCTTCCGATGGGCATCATATCGGTCCATAAGGGATTGTACATAGTCACTCTGAAACGCCTCTCTAAGAACCGATAAGAGCAAAGGAAGTGTCAATGAGTTACCTTATACCAGTGCGATTATTTACATCTTTCAATATCATGCCCTTGACCAACTCGATCAAAGTCTCGGGATACACCTATGGGTAGGGAGGAGTGAAGTATTCTTTGTTACGACTACCTTTTTAAGTACTTCCACCATTTCACGGGATATTTCTCCACTTCCTCGAACGGTGTTCATAACGGTGGTGATATCAGGTTCATTGCTGAAACCGCAGTACATTAGTTTGGTGATGAGACAGCCTAACGACCAAGCATCGCTCTTGTCCAAAACATGGCCGCAGTCTTTGGCCTCTGGTGGAAGCCACTTAAAATTTTCATCTAAAGAAGAAAAACGCAAAAAAAGTAGATACGCCTTAGGTTAATTCGATAGATGTACCCCTCCTGAAAGAGAATTTCTAGCAAAATAAATGACTGCTGGATGTTGTTTAAGATGTCCAATTTAAAGGTTTATCAACTTAACTCTTTGTCATCCCATCGACTAGTACAGCAAATAACATCGCTTAGGAAAATCTTTGTGTATTTTCTCATCGGTTACCTAACTACTTCCATAACCTTATCCTTTTTTGCGGCAAAAGTCTATAAATTAAAGTTCCTCGACATGAACGGGGTGGCACACGACTAAAATAAGATATGTCCCACCAGTAAGTCTTAAATTCTAAGACGAAAAACAGTCAAAGACTAAAAATAGCTCCAATAAACAATGTAACAAAGTTCATCGCAAATTACGCAGGAATTCTGTATTTGAGAAACTTAGCGTGGTTTTGTTTCTCTTCATTTGATTTGTTATTTAAGATAGGAAAAGATTCTCATGAAGACAGTTTTGTATTAGGTCAAATTTTGCTATAAACCTACAAATGCATATCAGCAAGAGGCGTTTAGCGTTTTAACACTTGAATCGACAAACAAATGTAAGTGCCAAACAATGGATAATGCGGCTATGGAAAACTCGAGGTATTGTTCACTTTTAATAAACACAAAGGAACCACCCGAAGTACCTATGTTCTTTTGAGAAATTGCCCATAAATAGCTAACGATGGCTTCAACTGCAGCATCACTAATCCGCACCTTTGTACCGTCGGTAAAAATATTTCTTGGATGTATTGCTCTAGATTGATTACTTTTAACTGAAGCGGCAAACCTGTGAACAAGACCCTTTTCTTCTAAATCATTAAGAACATGAAGAGTTGAACATAAAATTAATTCAATGAGCTAGGTGTAAGTCAATTGGCACTATCATTCTTACATCCAACGGGATCGGTTCTGCCCCCTGATATTTGTTCATTACGGCAGCCAAGTTTGGCATTCTCACGTATTCTTTGACAACATATATGTAAAATGTTAAAATCTAGATATGGCTTTTACATGTAACTGGACATACGTCTGGATCCCATTGAATGAAAATGCTTCTAACATTGACATGCATCTCGTGATGAAATTCTTTTAAAGTAGTGTACTATCAGTGACCATAAACAAAACGAGGTACTTCGTCAAAAGCCTTATTTGCATGTTGTTCGTCTACACATTCTATCTTAGCTAAAGTTACAAAAGGAAGACCACATCAATACTCTTTTTAAAATTAATATCTCGCCGGAGAACCTGTGTTCCACTATTTCTGACTGAGAATGCAAAGAGGAACCCAAAGAACGCTTAACCTTAAAAAAGTGATCTGTAAGTTCACTTAATAGAAGCGAACGTCGTATATCTTGTCAACTCGCATCATTCAGATTGTAAGATAGGCGGCCGAATAGCCGCATTGGTCGCCCATAGCGATGGTAAAATTAATATGAAAAAAAAAAACAACCAAGATTTATCAGGTCATTAAAGTAACCTAAGAAGCTGGAGACATATTTATATAAAAATAAAACGTGTAATCAGTGCTTTCACACATCAAAAATAAGCTCTTGGCACGCGATGAAGTAAAATATCTTTGTCTGTAATACCTATCTTGATAATGCTCCTACTAATCTATCTGCCAAGAGTTTGAAATCCGTGTTAATTGTAAGGACTGGTGGTCATTCTGGATCTGTCACACTGAGAAAACTGTCACCTGAGTCTTTTCGGAAGTGAGAGCCCTGTTGAGGAATGCATGATACTAATGTGCGTAGGTGATGATGGACTACGGGTATGACTCATAAGCCATGATAGGGAGCAGAATTACAAAATGCGGAGATCAGAGTGTCCGCGTAGCCCGCCATACCAATTATTTAAATGCAACAGAGCGACCACTGTCAAGTCTGTGCACTACGCCAGGTTTCCTGCGCCCAAACAAAGTGAGCGCTGGATTAAATGGGACAAATAGATGCAATGGGAAAAAAGAAAGTTTCTTAAGGTAGATGGGCGTACATGCATATGTGCACTCTTTAATTTATGATAGCCAGAGGTCCCCTGCATTTGGCTTTGTTCGTCTAATTTGATAGCAAGTCTTTACGCCTGCTCAGTTATAAATATTTCTTCGCAACTAAAACTGCAAGACGCTTTAGTGAGTCCTGGACTAAATGGCTTTCTCCGATAATTGGTCATTTACAGGGTTGTGGTCACATTTAAAACGCCTAACAATAACTGCATGCCAAATTTATTACTTTCTCAAATCACTAGGTAGCGGAGAACCAAGCCCTTTGGATGTTGGTTTAATTATAATAAGTTGCCATCTGTCCTGTGAAATACTTAAAAACGTATATTATTTTCAAATTAGGGCATCTTAAAAGCGTTTTTTACAGGCAAGGCATAAAATTTAATTCATGCACTACAGCCTTGTCAGAATTTTAGCAGAATGGAATTTGTTACGAAATCTATTCGTTTTAATTGTTTTCAACGAGGGCGGACTTTCCTGGTTGCCCCTTGCACGTTTTTGTAAGGTTTACTAAATCTGTTTCTGTTTGGTTCAGAGCAGTTACTCCCACGAGATTCGCGACTCATGCGATTTACTTGCTTGCCTTCATATTCTTGCTTCGCCTGCTTGGATATTGGTTTTCTCGATGTAGCTACCGAGTTCTATCCCTCTTTACATACTCTCACATTCATTTGTAGATTCGGGATGAAAAATCGTGGTAAAAATAAGAAGAAACAGTGGAAACGTATTTTGAACAATATTTCCACAGAACTACACGATGCTGCTAAGCGTAGGGAACTAACGTAGGCTACGAGATTTTAGGTAACCTACTTTTCTAGAGCCGCAGGTTTTGTTGTTAAGAAGGAGGACGAAGTTAAAATCGTCAAAGGCGACAAGGAGGCTGCCAAGGATCATCCAGAAATTCCAACTGCTGGCAGTTTTGTTGAAAGGTACATTACTTTGCAAATCGCACGTAATTTCCCTCAGATGTGTTTATCGACCAAGGAGGCGTTCCGTATTCCAACGTTATGTTGACATTTGGGGTGATGAACAGAGCAAAAATGGTAACGATTCTATCAAATCTACCGATATTGCCCCGATATTACCTCCTGTACGTCAGCCAAGTTTACCCTTATTTCTTGGTTGAACTCTAGTTGACGGTTTCAGCTGATTGTTCTTTTCATATGTGTACTCGTTTTGGGTGTCATAGCAGCCAGAGCTCATCTGTCCGGCTGGCCAGTCGTACAATCCCAGCGCAGTGGACCACCAGGTGCTACTGCTTCACGTGGCTAAGGAGGAGGTGAAGGCAGAGGCTGCGGCCAATCCACGCACCGCCAGGAAGCAGAAGAAAAAACGACGGAAGCTGACCCAAGCTCAGCTTGAGGCGCTGCGAATTAAGGCCAAGGAAAAGGGTAGGAAACCCACTGCTAAGGAGCTGGCAAAGCGGATGCAGACGGATTTGGAGAAGTGAGTCGATCTCTTGTTTTTGTAGTACTCAGAGGTTTAGTGTTTACAGGTTGCTCTAATTCGCATGACAGCCTGGCTAGTTAAAACTTCATTTTCGGCAGTTAAAACTGGGTTAGCTGTTTCGTTTTTTTGGTATTTGCGTCTGAAGTGTAGTTGCACTTTCAAGAATATGGAAGAACTGGGGAACCGATAGCTTATAATTATTGAACATACAAGTAGCTTAAATTTGATAGTTCATTCAGTTCATGCTATCCGGATATTGCGAAAATTGGGCTTCAATATCCAATATCGGTAATGTTTCCAACCTCTTATTCGAATAAACTAGCTACTGAATGTAGTGCACGGTGATATCAGACGAAGCGTTGGCATCGTTGACAGAACGTAGTCTCCATTTCGCATCCATTTCATGTGGCCAGTTTGAACTAAGCCTACCGGAGGATCTCCCGTTAGAAGACCCTTAATGCTCATTCACAGTTCGAAACAGATAAATGTTGATTTAATCGAGTTCCTTTTCTCAGCTCTGTAATTTATGATTGTTCCAAATCAGGCTTGGCTTCCTTACGAATCTTAAGGCGCTCCGTGTGCCTTCAGCCAGATAGGTTTCAGGCTACTCTCATCTCTCATTCCTGAAACTGTTCAAATGGAGTTTACTGTCTCCCTGATAATTCCTTCTCCTATTACTTTGAAATTGCCGCAGTGGTATATGTGACTCACTATTTTCTTAACGTTTCGAACATCTAGTGTTAACATATCAGGTAGTTTGTAATTTGTATTAAATGGGCATCTGCTTTTAGCATCCCAAAACTGTTGAAGGAGATTCGCAAGGAGGTCCGGCAGCAGGAGGTACGACGCCAGCGGCGCCAGTTGAGGGCAGCTATACGCAAGTACGAGAAGACGCCCAAGTTCCCCACTTCCTTCCAACTGCCTGGTGAACTGGCCCCGTCGTTGCGTCAACTTAAGGTACGTCCTCATCTCACTTTTCCTCACATAAGTATGCTGCTGTATCGTATCCTGAGGATGAAACGGTTTAAAAGTTTTTAAATTATTTGGAATATCACGTTATGGCGCGTTGTTGGATTCATAACTTCGTCTCCATCTGTACAACTGTGACCTGTTCAAGTATGCGAATTTCTTGGCCAGGGCGAAACAGTGTGGCAGCAAATTGGGGAGCTTTCGCATTATACTCATTGTGACTTTCATTGTCGCTCTTGCTGATCTATTGTTGAAGGCGTAAGTATAGCAGGCCTTTTGTTTGCAAAGTAGCATGGCGATGATTTAGGCTGTATGTAAGTGTCTAAACTGGTTTTTGTGACAACGTCACGATCACGTAGGTGGGGGCAGAGAAATTGACAACCTTCTGGTTTTTTTTTCCACATTCGACTGCGTCAAATCCCGAACAAGTAAACAACTATCCAAACGAAGCAACTTGTTCTTGTGTCTAACTGCAGCATTGCTTATTCATTTACTTTCATCCTTGCATGTGCATATACTTTTTTTCGTAAAGATCCGGCTATCGCCTATTCCACATTCTCTGCTCGCCGATATTTGATTCACCCCCCTCCCTCAAATTGGCTTTGAAATGCTACCTAAGGAGATCAAACTCTTTCATATCAAATGGCGTAATGGTAGCCAATTGTCTGGATGAATCGAGGTAGAAAGTATGGTTGGAATCGTTCCATTCATCTGCTTTGGAGATATCGTCTAGCAGGGTATACGATTCGATCAACCTTTAGTACTACGACTATAATGTGCATTACATGACTTTGCTTTAACTCTGTCTTTTACTCTCTTCCCCTCAGACGGATGAAGCTTGGATGAGGGAGGTGGAATTCAAGCGCAACAAGCTGCCGCGAGCTCGAAAGACCCTCGGAAAGAAGGCTGAGACCACAACCTATGTGCGCAGGAGTAGAAGAAACTGAATACATTCCCTTCCCCTCTCCTGCTCATTGTACATTTCTTCAATGTTGCACTTTTGAACCCTTTGGGCACTTCTAATGTTGGTTTGGTGCTAGGGCTGGAACTCACTGCGTTTCATTCTGATCAAGTGAAGGTCGATTGTAGGTCCAGTGATTTGACATAAGGAGCAAGTGAGTTGACGAAGAGCCCACTACTTGGCTGTGGGACGGAAACCATGTATGGGATCTCGCCACCTCAGCAAATTCGAAGCTGTTTAAAAGTGTCAAGGTGGCCAAGTCATTTAGGAGGTCAGCATGGAGACGGCAGGGGGTCAAGACCCGTTGCGCCAGTGGCAACACAGATTTAACGGCGGAGCGGACGGGGTTCATTGTGGGCCTTAGTGGAGGGATTGATGGCCTTCATTGGTGCTACAAACCCGACCAGATTTGCGAATACCTCTAGATTTGAGGGAAAGAATATGAACAACAACAACCTTGTTGGAGGAGTATGATAACTTTGGTGACTATTGCCACCGGAAGGCTAGTGCCCTCATCAATACTGTTGAATATGAGCGCTTTGCCGATGCACTTGGAACACATTATTTGTTTTGTTAAATGTCAGTTTTTGTAATAGGCTACTTAGGGACTCCGCCTTTGTATCGCTACTGGGCAGTCTGGCTTCCAGGCTATACCAGTAGCCCCGTCCCTTACTGTGCATCGACGAAACATATTCTGCACAGGTATCATATCGTCTTTCGTCATCAAGGCGATCAAAGTATTCATTTTCAGTGTTGCGGTCTTTTTATCCTCGTAGCTTTCCAACAATTAAACCAAATTAGATTATTGTCTTTACAAAAATATCACCCAAGTGAGAAAATCATGCCCCAAACTTATAGAAACACCAGGTTGACAAAATAAACCTGATAATTCGCCTTGCAAAACCCTTTATTTACATTGTGGAAATGATTTGATGTAATAATATTCCATGGCTAGGATTTACGGCCAAATCCCATCCATCTACAGGGCATATTATTTTACTGTACCGACTGACAATTACTCATAGAACCGAAATTTTCAAGGCAGGCCCACGCAATGATTCGCTCGCCATCTATTGGTTCACTCACAATGATGCAGGTATTCTTAAAACTCAAGAGGATAGGATGTGACTGATTCTAATACGGTGCATAGACGGGGGTCATTTCGCAACTTCCTGCAGCAAATTGCTTAAAGGAAGTGCTATTATTCGTATCGTAAACAATTTAAGTCCTAAGTGCCTGAATGTGCCGATTTTGTTGTTCGTGTCCCAAAATTTGTCTTCTTCTAAGAGGAGGTGCCGAAAATTCGGATGATGATGATGATCAAATCACGTGAGTAACTTAACTTTGTTGACGTTTGATTTTTTAAAGGACTAGGCAGCATTTCCATTGCTTTGTTTAAGTTCGCTCGGCTGCGGGCGCCCTGGTGAAAACTATGGCTGTCCGCTTAGTATTTTTTAATCTGATGGCAGTTTTAGGGGCACTTTCTCTTCTCAGTAAAGGTGTCGCCGATGAATTGGCCATGCCAGAAGATGCTTGCTTAGGTGATAGTACGTGCTTTTTCCCTTACCTGTCTGATGAATCGTTTGATTCCATCACTGGTGGCGCTGATTCGTCGGATCTGCTGTCCAAACTGATAGTACGCTCTTAGTTCTACGTAATTATTATCCTTAGTTATCCACGCTCCTTCTGTTTATTATTTTACCCTTAATTGCAATTGTTATTTGGAAGTTGGCTCAGCGTTTGCGGTACAAAGGTACAGTGGTGCTACCATTGATTCGATGCGATCTTAGTACCCTTCCAGCAAGAACACAAAGTTACTCGTTTCCGTTTCCGAAATCGAGATAAAATCCGCTACTATGCTATCCGTTTGAGCCGCAATTTTAATGCAATCGCTTCCAAATCCCGCGATGAACAGCGAAAACTAATTATCGGTTATGTCAAAAGGTTACCCATTCTCACTTCATTCAACGTACGAATTATAGGCTCTTCAGTGGCGATTCGGAGGGTCGCAATCCTCTATTGAAGCAACGCAACCTACCCGAGTCCTTCTTTGAGCCGGAATCAGGAGATGAATCCGGTGACATGCCCGAGGACCTAAAGTTAATGGTTAACCACGTTCGAATGCTCTCCTACCTCGGTCGTGATGTTGTCCAAGCCCTGTCCAGTGTCATTAGTACCATTGATTTGCGCCCCAAAAGTCATCTTTTTCGTGACGGAGATCCTGAGGATAAGATATACGTTGTCAAAAGTGGTCGTTTGGACCTAAAAGTCACTGACACGGTATGAGAAGCTTCTTTGCTTTGTCCTTTTTATTTTTACCTTTATCGGCACCTTGAACAAGTTTGTGTGCCTCTTTAGGATGGTTCCTCGACAGTGATCCACGAGGTTACAGCGGGAGGGAATCCCTATAGCCTTCTAGCGATTGTGGACGCGATGAACAACAACAAACCGAGGTACCACAACATTGAAGCGGTGGCTGTGATACGCAGTAAGGTTGTCTGTCTAGCGATTTCGGATCTGATCAAAGTTTGTCGGGACTATCCACCAGCAAACCTTCGACTCGCACAGATGACCATCATTCGTCTTCATCGCGTCACATTCGCAGCTCTGCACAATTTTTTTGGTCTGGACAAGGAGCTCTTCTCTCAGGTGCAACATCTTGGATTCCCTATTTCTCTAATGAACATGTCCCTTACTTTTACTCATTATTCTTTTAGGAACGGCAAACATTCCTCAAAGACTCAGCTGTTGAGTCGTTTCTAAAGCGTCTTGATGAAAGGAGCAAAAATGCATCAAACAGCGACTGTAGGTGCTACTGTTCTTTTTTCTGTATCATGATTTTACATGCTTTCGACACTTTTTTGCTTGGTTACATATTTCCTCAACTGCCTTATGTCGGAGTATTTTTTTTCACCTGGTGTCGTATCAATAAACATTATGGTACCACCACCCTGTTTCACTGCGTTTTTTTTGGGCCATGGATATTTGGGTAATCCTGAAAGAACAATTTTTTCATTATCCAGTAAACCATAATTTTGACGCCAAAGAGTAACTATATCACACATTTAATTTGCTTCCGTTTCTGCAAAAATGCTCTCTGCTGTTTTGTCTCTGTGGGGTTACCTGGTGCCTAGTCCTACCAGCATATGCTATAGTTCTAACTGAATATCTGATAACATTAGCTTTTGAAGATTGCACATTTAGATAATTCAACATTATTTTTATGAATACTTTTTCTCTCAAAAGACCGCATTGGGCTGTAATGTTGTATCGGTGGAAAGTATATTTAACTTTTTAACCTCTCCTGATGTATTTATAATCCTGAATAGTTCCCTATCCCTAAATGTGTATTCTATATTATACACCAAAATTTTAGGTTGTCTCTATTTCACCTTTAATGATTAATTTTACTTTTTAACTCTGCTGTCTATTTTTAAAAACTTAGTTTCACTGCGAGGCTAACTTGATATCAAGTACTTTTCTAGTTTCCTGATGCCACTGAATCCATTCCAAGCTTAATAGTTGGGGATTTTGCGTACTTGATTTTTCGGTTATCTATAATGGCTAACCTTATGCCTAAACTATGCACATGCTTTTTGCATTTACATCATTGAGTAGGCCGATTTTGATCCAGCTACCGGTTTTTTTATTTGATGGGGCACCCTTCAGTAATCTAATACGCGGGTAGGAAAGTAGCTTTACTACTAACTGGAGTACTGGAAAATACCTTTCTTCCACCGCAGCCCGTGCACACAAACGATGCAAGTCCAAGACGGCCAGGTTAATGCCCGAGGGCTCGGTCACAGCCAACCATTTGGTCCCAACTCGGAAGTCAATAGCGAAACATCCTTCCACCGCTGCGAAAACTGCAGAGACAGGACCAGCAGTGATAGTTCAAGGAACCGGAAGTCTTGATGAGGTGGGGCCTCTCGTCTCCACCTCGTCTGTTTCCAAGCTTCTTGAACTCGGTGAGGTGGCGGACAACGCGTCGAATTGCGCCGCACCCTCTACCCCCGCAACTGCCGCCAAAGAGCAGGTGGAATTAATATATGCGGCACAGGAGGACCTTGCACGCCTCTTTGGCATTTCTGAGGGCGCCACGGCCTTTGGAAAGAACATGATCAGCGTAGTAGAAGTCAATCCCGGCGAGCTGATCTCTAAGGAGACGGAACCTCAACTGGCACTCTACTACATACTCTCGGGAGGATTTGTGATCACGCAGCTCTCCACTGTCGCTGGACCGGCACGTTGATTTTTTTTGTAGCAATGATTTTGAAATTTGCTTAATCGGATTGGTTTGGGAGAATTTCGGGAACATGTGAGGGACTAAGATGTTGCTGGTAAGAATGCTTCATCTGCCAAATTATGTACAGTTCGTAAAGTTCCTTATTGATCTGCGTTTAGGCTTTACTGCGACATTTTGATAGGTGCCATGTCCTTTTATCGGTCTGGTTCTAACTGAGTTCTGGGCTTTTGTTTATGGGTTAGCCTTGTCTTTGTTACTTTTGGGCTGTTCTTTAGACCTTACTTAGATGCTTTACGATCTGATAGTTCGAAAATCCACGCGATTCGGTTGATTTTTGTTTTTACGATTCGCCATTGATGATTTGTATGACACTGAGAGGGGTTTCTGCAGTTGAATGCTTTTCGTACCTTTTCATGAATTTCTCCCCTACTTGGCAGTTGTCGACCTTGGGATTATCCCCAAGGCCTAGGGTACCCCAGAATCCCATTATTTCCACTTTGGTGCGACTTAAATATAGGTTCCGCAGCCATTTCACATTAAACTACAAGGATTATTAGTTTAGTAGACGAAGCTAGTTACCTCACACGCGGCGATTAACTACCCCTCTTTTCTCCACCTTTACCAACCATAACCAAGTTTTCTGAAAGCGTGCATAATTGTGCAGTTCAATAAGTTGGATCTTAATGCAGTGTTATCCCAAAGATTCAATGATATTTTTGTGCTTTATTTTAACCTTTAGAAGGTAACGGAAGCTTTTTCCCCTATCAACCGATTGTCGGTTCGACTTTGGAATAGCCTCAGGTTTGCAGTGGATTTCATTCTTCGGTAGCTTTTTTGTTATTCAAATCTGATTATTAATGTGACGGCATTTTGAAAATGTTCGAGCCTGTTTTGTAGGATCAGCAGTAGTTAAACCAATTTACTAGTTGAATAGGCTGAATTAGACAGCTTAGTTACTTGGATTTATGCGCAGGTCTCGTCATATAGGAAGGAGGACCCAGAATTCAAATCTTTAGAGAAGGGGTTAGTTCAAATTGCTTGGTCCTTTAAAAGGTGGTAGGAGTGAAATTAGAGGCCAAAAACAGGCAGACTCTTAAAATCTTAAGCACTCATAACTTTTCCTGGATTCAAGTTTCAATCCAACTGGTCTACTTGACAAATCAGAATATTGAAGTGGGAATCGCGTAATTGAAAGGGTTTGACTAGGAATTCAAAAGTCGAATTGAAAATTAGAAGAGTCGAGGCCCAGTAAGAAGCGTGGTTCGTAAACCTACGGTAAACAGCTCCACTGCCATTGACAAACATCCCTGCATATTTGAATAGTCGAACTTTCTTGTGATCGAATCGAAATGTCAGGAAGTCCCTATTTCTTTTTCTATTATTTCTTTTAGGGAGTGACGAAATCGGTGCCAGTGCTGCGCTGTACGCCCGGCGAATTGATTGGTTTGATGTGCGTGATCACGGGGGAGGCGAACAACTGCAGCGCACAGGCCTCCGTTGCTTCACGGGTGGCGGTGCTATCTCGGGACGACTTCTTCCGGCTGGTGCGTTCTTATCCACAGGTCCTTATCAATGCTGCAAATCTCGTGAGTCTGCGACTGTCACGTCTCCTTCGACTGGCCGATTTCGCAGTTGAGTGGCATGGAGTAGATGCGGGCAAGGCACTCTATAAGTAAGCGTTTTCCTGTCTTTCCTGTATCTCGGTTGTTTGGGGTGGGCAATCTTGATTGGCTGGTCATCTCACCTGGCTTGAAAGATATCCTGTGTTTCTCTTCTATTCTCATAGTTCATTGCTTTGAGGTGAAAGCTCTTAGGTATTTAACTATGAAACAGTCATTGCGCTTTGCAAGCATTGGACACTCCTCGTCGCTCTTTCCCCTCACTGGTCGTATGTTTGCAAAGGACTGCTTGAGTGGTTGGGTAATTCGTGTTCATCAACCTTCCCTCTCATTTCCTTTCAAGACAAGGCGACAGCTCGAACTACGTTTATGTTGTGCTAAATGGCCGTTTTCGAGAGGTTCACACGAATTCCGATGGCAGTCGCAATGTGATTACTGAATCTGGTCGTGGTGCTTTTCTGGGCTATGTGGAGGTCACTAGCGCTAAACCTCGCATGAACACAGTTCTTGCCATCCGGTAAGTTATCCTCTTTTTTTAGTCAAAAGGGATTCTCCTTGTCTTTAACCAAGTCGATCTGAATAGTTGCGCTTGACTCCGTTTTATACTGAAATCCTCTGATTGGGCCTCCCTCATGGCTTTGATTTTATAACCACCAAATTCTGAATTCTCGCATTTTGTTTTAGGCCTACTGGGTATTTTTTAGGGACTCCCATTATCCTTTTTTAATGAAAGTCTGACAGATTTCATGTAACCCAAACAGGTACGCGTAGATGTCGATGCTTTTCGTACTGAATCCTCTCTAAGAAATGAGCCTGTCCACTTCGTTATTAGGAATTCAGTGTCTAGATCAGGCAGTCTTTGAAGTCAGTTAGATTGTCAAATATCCATATGCATTTATTTTACAGCGACTCAGAGGTAGTAAAGGTGCCCTCCATCCTGCTAAACTGGTTGAAGCGCCTTACTCCGCATCCTGTGAGTCGATTCATCCAACTCCTCTCCGACCGACTGATGCAACCTACTGTCTACGGTATCTTGGAGGGAGGTCAAACCTCCTCCTTCGGTCCCTTCGTAGCTGGATCGTACACCGAAGGTGCTAGCGGCGGTGTTCCGCAACAGTCACATCTCAACGCCGCCGGCAGTGGAGGTGCCATGACGAATCTGCGCGCCATTGCGATTCTAGCTACTTCACCGGATATCAACACAGAGGCCTTCACGCTTGAGTTGCAACACGCAATGTCAGTCTTCGGCTCATCGGTTCGACTCACCTCCGGTATGTATACTTCCTTTCCTGACCTCTGGTCGTTGCTTGTTCGGCTCATAGAAATGTCTTAATGCCATGCTTAAGCATCCATCCCTCTATCCCCCTTTTCGAACCCCGATCCATGCTTCGTCAAAATCATTACTTATGTGGAGGGGCCTCAACTTCACCTGTGATTTGTTTGATGACTAACGATTTCACAGTCAGATGTGATGCCTCACTCCACGTACTGTATGCGTTGTAGAGTGGGTGTGTTTTGCCGCTTTTTTGCGAGCTTGTATGCCTCTTCTCTTTTACCATTTTTGGATGCGTTACCGGCGTTGTTCTACGCCTAATTATCTGGAAAACTCTGTACTTTTGGCACCACAAAAACAGCAAGTGATGCCGACATTTCTCTGAGCCGTTCTCTTTCCAGATATCCCCCCCCCACTCTTGATGCTGTCAACTCATTGTATTCAAGAATTAAAGGACAACATGGAAGCACTTTTTTACAAATGGTTGCACTTCTGTTTTTTTATTCGGATTCATTTGATTACACGTTCATGTGTTTCTCAGATGACCAGTTCGTGTGGTTGTCGGTATGCCTCGCTGCAGTGACATGTTGCAAATTGTGGGGACTTTCAAAACGCACGTGAATGTTTACAGCCAGTACATTATAAAATGTAAATGTGGGGCCACTCCATCAGTCGATGTGGTGATGAATCACTCGAAGATAGAGGCGCTTCGCGTTCACCACTATCCTCTATCTTAATATGAATGGAGGATTACGCATCGCTAATGGTTGAAAAAAACTCAAGATTAGGGTTTAACTTGCCTTTAAGTCATGTTTAACTTCTTGGGTGATGGAACCGTTGGTTTACACCCATCTTAATTGGAGAGGCAAAGTCGTAATAGCCGCTTCAGAGCCAATGAATGTCACACGCTGTCCATTACCCGATGGTAGAAAATGGTCTTCAAAAACTTTTACTTACAGATATATTGATTTAGTAACTCTTTTTCATATTCTCTCACGCTTCCTCATTGAAAAGTGTAGTACTAAAATTCAACAACTTTTCGATTTATGCGCTCTATTAGCATCAAAAACATTGTTGAAATCTATCCTTCAGATAGTAAGTGAGAATCCTTTTCACTTTTTGCCTTTCAATCTTTGCTGGGGGATAGACTGGAATTCTTGATGTCGCATTTGGAAGCAAATAATCACTAGCTTTCTTTGCAAAATCGCAAAGATGATCCTGAGTTGCTGATCCTTTGTTTTGGGTTCTTTTGCAAGTCCTAATTCAATAACCGTATGCTTTTTTGCGCTAGATAACAACTTTGTGAGGAAATTAGCTGAAACTCAAAATCTTTATTTTCCTTCCTGCTGACTAGTCCTCGAGGTCTTTTATCCATTTAACATTTTCTTTGATCAGTGTTGCAAGTGAAATCCGTCACAATTCATTGATGTCTTCATTTGCTTATCATTTATTCTTCACTTTCTTGCGACTGAAGAGTCGCATTGTACATGCCCAAATCAATGCTTGAATTGTTCATACCAAGTTCAAATTTACTGTAATCCACTCCTAAGTTAGCCAAGTAAGGAATAAGTCTATGTTAATCCATCCTCTCGAACAACTGCTGTAGGCACATGCTTTAACATACTTTTTTCCTCTTCCCTCCTCTCCCACAGACATAGTGAAAAAGCGCCTCGGCGAGAATGCCTTAGAATCCATCAATGACTACCGCCTCTGCTCATGGCTCAGTCACCAAGAGGATGTCCATCGAATGGTCTTCTACATCGCTGACAGTCATTGCAGTCCCTCTGCATGGACCCGGCGTTGCCTGCGACAAGCCGACTGCGTTGTCCTCCTCGCTCTTGCCTCTGCTGATGATCCCACGAAGCTCTCGCCCATTGAACAGGCGATGAGTTGCCTCACCACCAAGGTGACAAAGATCCTTGTTCTCCTCTATCCCCTAGAGACCGAGTACCCGCCTGCGAAACGCACCGCGGCTTGGCTTAATACCCGACCCTGGGTTACACAACACTACCACATCCGTTGTCCTCCCCGTGTGCTCAATCCCACAGTGAAGGACCTCATTGCATTTTACAGTCAAGTTTTCCTTTTGGAAGAGCCGAATCAACACTCAGATATGTCACGACTAGCGAGATATCTCACTGGACAGGCAGTGGGACTGGTGCTTGGTGGGGGAGGAGCTAAAGGCGCTGCCCATGTGGGAGTCATTCGTGTGCTCCAGGTGGGTTGGCTCACTTTTATCTTATTAATTATCCCAGACCTATTTTGCGCATAATTAATATCTTAATGACTTCCGATGGTAAAGACGGTGTTGTACGGAAGGAAGCTTACAGATTTCCTGTCACCAGTGTATCTGTCGTAATAAGTCACCCAATTCCCTGGCGTAACTGTGATGCCTGAGGTAACCTCATAGATAATCATCGCAGAGACGACTGAATTAGGAGGGTCTATCCATTGCGTCATATTGGCGAATTAAGTTTTGCTTAAGGCTTAATGATAATCTACAGCGGGTGCGTTTTTTTGCATCACTCGCTTTTCGTAGCTTAAAAGCGGAGCCTTTTCTAAAGACTCATTTTCTCGGATCTGCTTTTCGATTTACTTCATTTCCTTGGACTGCCATTTTAGTGCTGCGAAACTGTCAGTTTGAATCATTTGATCAGTTTATTACATGGGAAGGTATCAGGTCCTTGGATTCTACTACTAAACGTATTATTCTACATGTGTTGTAAACGAAACTTTTAAGAACAGTTTTGACTCGTTCCACCCGGATCGCATCACATTTTTGACTAGGATACAGAATTTGGAATTGATACGTGTATTTAATAACTCCTTAAATACGGGTCTCCAAAGATTTGGTCATCCGCAACATATGTTTTCCTTTTATGACATAAGTCTCATTAATGCCTCCCATTCTTCTAAATGGCACCAGTGATTAGCCTGGGGTACCTCAGGCGGTATTGCAATACATGCGATTTTGGAATTAGCTTTTTACAAGCATGCAAACAGGGTGAGACCAACTAGCACGGGTAATAAAAGCTGAGCTCTATGTTGCCGCCCTAAGAGCCGAACCGCAGAAGACTGAATGTATGCGTCATTACATACATTGAGGAAACTACTGCCCTTCTATACTTTGTCAACAGTTCTAGAAGTTTCTTGACTCCTTCGATTGATCGTAAATTTTAAAGGCTTTTTCAATCGAATCTGTGGATGGATGATTGCGTGGGTAAGTGAGAGAGTTGATTTTGTGGTGTGAGCACATTTTTCGGTGTGATTTATAGCCAACTGCGCATTCTGAGCGTGCCTGATAGATGATCCGTCATTAAGTTTACCATTTAATGTGTCTTCCCACTCACGTAAAGATGGATAGCGATAAGAGGGTAAGAGTACAACAGAAGCTGGTGCAACATTTTCCTGCCTGTCTATTGCTGCTGTTTAGTATGATTGCAGTAATGCTGGTAATTAAGTTCTTATTTTCGGTCCTCGTGTCGGCGGCTTATGGGTAGCTCCTGACCTCGGTTTCTGTTTGATTTCCTGTGCAAAGTGAATAAAATCCCCTCAGATTCATTCTCATGAAGTCGTTTTTTGACTCTTCTGTCAACATGCCTGGCTTTTTAGGCATTATATCCACAGTCATCTCGATGATGATAAATACTGGAGCTACACTAATTCCCCTGTTATTCAATTCGGTTTGTTTTTGAGGGGAGGGTAGTTTTATTGTTGCTTTCAAATCTCTCAAGTCAACTTGAAATCCACAATATTGTAATTAATATCCCTATCATTGTTTATTTCGCCTCCATTTTAGCAGGAATCCTATTTACCCAATTGCGTTGTTTTCTTTTCCTTATACCCTCTCGCTTTGGGGAAAAATGTGTTCTCTTTGGGATTTTCTTCCATTTATTTTTTTAAATTTCAGCTCCGTGATAACGCTACCCAGTCTATTCTAGTTATTAGAAAACGTCGTAGTGTTTTGATCTTGATGCTGATGATGCGGATGCTGAGAGATTTGAAATCGCTAATGGAACCATTTCAGCTAGTTTCTTTGTGGAAGGGATGCCTCACACCGCTAAGGCTTTTTTTCCACTTCACCTTACAGGAGGCAGGAATCCCAATCGACATGGTCGGTGGGACAAGTATTGGGGCGCTGATAGGCGCGATGTGGTCCGAGGAGACACGAGTGGCGCAGCTATCCCAACGCTCGCGCGACTTTGCTCGTGTCTTCAAGTCCATTTGGCCCAAACTGCGGGACATCACGTATCCCACTGTTTCTCTCTTTTCTGGTGAGTGAAAGCACGCCGGATCGGTGTCTGTCTCCCCGGGTCGCCATTTGACCGGTTTTCCCTCTCTTAGGCTACGAGTTCAATTCTCACATAGAGTCCATCTTCAAGGATCGCCAAATTGAGGATTTGTGGGTGCCTTACTTCTGTGTTACTACGGATATCAGTAACTGTAAGATGCGAGTCCATACAAGCGGTAAGTCTCCCCTACATTTCGCTTCTTTTGGTATGGCTCTTTATAGACGGAGTTTTGGTAGCTAAATTCATGATTTCAAATTTTAGAGTTTGAAATGGGAGGAGAGGGGAGGAGGAAGAGGAGAGTAAGGAGAGGGGGAAGGCGAGGGAACTTTAAATTAACCTAATTTTGTCAAATCATGGGCTACCGTCCAGTCATTTTTGGGTCAAGATTTAGCATCACTCCAATAAGTTTTCTGTCCAGAACCAATCACTTCTCCCTTCTCTTCCCTCTTTCATGTTTTCCTCATTCGCTTCCACATTAGAATTTCATATTGGAAGACAGCTAGCCACCTCTACGAAGGCAAGAGGGCCGCTGAAGTCAAAATGGACTTTTAGCTGCATTTATTTTTCCACACGATTCTCTGCCCTACTTATGCACTTGTTCCTACGTCTAACCAATATCTGGAAAATTTCGGCATAGAATGATTTGTCAGCAGTGTTGAAATATTCTGTCTTAGTATCGGCTTGCGTCAAATTTCCCAAATGGCGAATACACGTGAATGGCTATGATGGATTTACCCTTCTCACAGCGGGCTTCATCCCTTGTGGAGCATCTTTAAGCAACAGATCGGCTATTCACGTGTTAGCGTTCCACGCGCTAAATTGAATGATGGTCCAAGAACCATCGAAATTCGGAGTTGTCACCGTCTTGACTACTAATTGTTGAGCGTCCCATCGTCATCTTTTGTTTGAGTGGACATCCTCGGATTTTGCGCTTTCGCCACATCCTGCTCATGTGCGCACTTGAGTAAAAGTGCCAGAATTGACTCTCTACATGTTCAAGTGGGACAGGTTTGACACTCTCTACTGCGTGAATTACTATCACAGTGGCATCGTTTTTACACCTGTAAAAATAAAAGTTCCAGTTTTGCTTAAACACACATCGGTGACTACTTTTGAGTTTTCTCTCACACTGTGAGGTCATGGGCTCAGAATAACCCGGTTTTTAATGTGTGCATGCATTGGTTCCAACGGCGAAAAAGGCTGGCTGTGGCGATATGTGCGCTCGAGCATGACCTACCCTCTGCTCTTGCCGCCTCTCTGCGACCCCTCTGATGGCCACTACCTCATCGACGGCGTCTTCGTCAATATCCTTCCAGGTAGCCCCCTGTCCTCACTCATCCCCATTCTGATTCCCCCTCTCCTCTCCTTCCCCTCCCCTCCCTTCCTCCTGGGTGGGGTTGAGATGCATTCACTGGTCAAACAAGTAGGAGAAAGGGTTATTGGGCCACACGCCATTCCTTTTCTGCTGTCGCAGCTTGCATGCTGCTGTCTCTCAATCTGAGCATTTTTCGTTTTTCCCCTCCCCTTTGATTCGCTTCATACCTGCTGCCACATCGATCTATCCATCCATGCATCCGCAAATGCAATCAGGCTCACTATGGCGCTACGTGCGAGCCAGTATGTCTCTGTCGGGCTACATGCCGCCGCTGTGTGATCCGGTGGATGGCAGCTACCTCCTTGATGGAGGCTACGTCAACAATGTGCCCGGTGAGTTATTGCTGTTCCTCCCGTGCTCTTTTCATTCATTCATCTCCTCCCTCTCTGCAATTCGTGCATGCTTCTTTCTCGCTTTCTGTTCGTTTGATACCACACTCAACTGCACTAACTTATTCCTGCATTTACTTGGTGTGTTTCACGGAGTTTTCGCCAACTTTCCTTTTCTCTTACGTTCACGTTTGTGGTGTGCTTTTACCGGACTCTCGTGCTAGGTGGTCTGCTTGGACGAAGTAGGTTTTGTTTCGCCTAGTCAATTGTCTGCCTAATCAACACACATTTTTGAAACGTACCCAGTTTTTGCAGGAAACGGTGTTTTTCTCTAAACTTGCGTCAGTTTCGGTGCGCAGGAGTTGCAATTTGGCAGTGGAAGTTCCCAAAATATTTTATCGCATTTGATTGGCATTTTCTGTTCTGCTGGATTCTCACTGAAAAATTAGCTTAATTGGAGAGACAGTGTAACAATGTTGTTTTTCTAAATATTTTAATGGGTTCGTTATTCATAGGGTATCCTCTTTCCTGTTGTCAACTGAGAATGTAAACGAGAAAATTTCCTACGTGACAGATCGCAGTCTTTGTCGACTCCTTGGCGTTGCCGATTAAAATGGACTTCTCTTTGTGCTCATATTTAGTGCTTTTGATGGGTTCTTGCAATTACCACACCAACAGAACCCCGCTTTCAATTTGCTGTTTGCTTGGGGTGGGAGAATGTATTTTCCTCTACTACGACTGCTTTTGTCCCATCACGCTCCCTTATAACTGACTCATTTTTGGGATTAGATCTCTTGTCCAATGGCAGCTTGCTAGCTACATCAAGAGTATTTCTACCATTTTTCTGGAAGACTGCTATTACGATCGTTAGCTCGCACTGGCAGATTTGCCTGCCGAAGAAAATTCTTTGCCTTCCCAAACATTATACTAGCTTCCATGAAATGGCCAATAAATTGTCACTGCACTTTTGGCCGGACAAAAATTTGACCTTAACCGAGGATCGCAATTGAATTACCCGTTTATTCATTTTATACTTCCGGATTTGATCCAGCCACTTTATTCATCCTATTGCACCTACACTTGTGGATGATTGCACAGATCTGACAACCTTACTGATGATTTATGAACTCCATAATCCTCCTGTGGGTATGGATATGTTGACTTCTATTTCGCCATGCTCCAGCTTTTATTTCATTGGTCGGATTTATTCGTTATTCTAAATGGTGTTTCGTTACAGAAATGGGGGAAAAATGATCCCCCTTGAGGAAGTTGTTGACACAAAGCCGAAATGTGGCCATCTGTGTTCAGAGTGAAAAATCAAAGAAGATATTTCAGATTGATTTGTATATGAATGATTTCATTGGTTTTGGGCGTTTTGTAGAAAGTTTTCCGTGTTCCAGTCCCCCACGCAATACGTCTTGACTTTCATCGCTATATAAGGGGTTCTAAAACCCACTTTGCCATTTATCATGCATTGGGAGGGAAATGCTACTATCAACATCCCCTGCGAATCCGCATATCAACTTCAAATGGCTGCTAGCCTATTTCGAGTAATGGCGTAGGAACAACCATCCGACCGACAAGCCAGCATTGGTCTAATTTCGTGTTATCCACTTCAAGGTTGGTCGTTGTATCTCCGAAATTGTCAAAATTTCACGATTTGCATAATATTGTTGCGTGATGGGATTTCAAAAGTTCCCTGTTGATTAAACGCGATTCCACTACTTTCGTATTACCTGCACCATCGACTCCGAAGGTGAATATCAAATGTTTGGGGTTTGCTTATAATAAGTATGTCACTTTCAAGCTGCGATTCAGTAGGTTTTTTAGGACTGCTATTTACTGCTAACCCTATAGACCCTTGGATCGATCCTCATGCCATTCTTACTGCTTGTCATGGCTTCCAGGTGCACTCACCCCTTCCCAACTCCCCGCTTTCCCATCCCCCTTCCCGCCTTGGTTTTGTTGTGTCCTGCCCATTTCCACCGCCTCTAAAACCAGTCTTTTCCTCATTTACTCTCCAGCCGACGTCATGGTTTCATTTGGTGCAAAGACAGTCTATGCCGTGGATGTGGGCTCCGTCTATGACACCAATCTGACAAACTATGGCGATTGGCTCTCGGGCTGGTGGCTCATCTATCAACGCTTCTTTCGTTGGTGGGGTCCTCCCATCAGGGTGAGTCACTTCTATCCTTAATCTAAAGGCTAGCGCCACGATTTGACCCCTATCACTGCAGTTCATTTGCTGTTTCCTGCCATTATTAAGTAAATCGTTATTATCATTATCAATTTATGTAGCTGAAGACTAACTTTCGAATTTGAAATTGATATTCTACTTAGAGAAGAGTGTTCGACTTTGCCTATTTTAGTGATAGCGATGGCTCTCCTATCTTTAAAGTGAGCCAATTTCCAACATGGAAAGCGGTTTTCTAATCCTTTACCATTGAAACTGTGATTTTGAAATCCTCCAGTCCCTGCGATTAAAGGCTGTAATTGCTTGCTTAATGATAATCCTTTCCATAATTCTTTCTTTGGTCCACCGCGTAATAAGTTTTTCGGGGTAATTTTTAACTTGGAACAGAGTGACTGTGAACTGTTAACCCTCTCTACCTGAATTGGAGTCTTACCTTGCAGTAGACACAATGGTTGTTGAATGTGGCCTAGTCTGGTTGAAAAGGTATTGGTGTGGCAGTGAGACGTGAAACATCCTAAGTTGCATTGAGCTTCCGCTTTGAAGGATGTTAGCTGTTTTCCTCAAGTGAGTATCCAGTTAAGTTAAACAAATGCCTCTGATAGAACGATGATATGCCCCAGGGCATTGATTCGCCTGATGGTGAAGTGATTTTGAAGTTTTGATGTTGAAATTTTGCCTTATTTATGTGGGCACAAGGTTAATGCTTTGCCTAACGTCACTGCAGTTTAAGGTCGCACAGATCTGCTGACGACCTTCTTTCCTTCCATGCTTCCGTAATTCTCAAAGCAACTGCATATATATAACTGACATTTGTCTCGATCAGTAGCACTCCTTTGCAAGGTCAAGCTTGGACGGGTTTGAACGTGATTGACTTGTCTTTGTCTTATAGTAGGTCAGTCACTCGGTAAAAACGAATTAGTGCCACTGAAATTTAGCTCGATCAGCTACCTTCCATAATGATTCTTGTGACTGTTTCTCCAACAATAGGAGAAATGTAAAACCTTTTAGATTTTACGTCTGTTCTCTTTGTATGAAAAAAACTGGTTAAATACGACTTTTATAACTAGAAAACTCTCTTTTTAGATGGTAGTAGGGACCTTGGAACTGGCTTTCTCTACACCGCGAAATGAGCTGAAGGAAGTAATGCCTTCCAGAATGTTTGACTGTTCCACGCATGGGTCGAATTAGTGTCGTGCGGACATTTTTACCTCACATCAATTGTACTGACCACTTGACTCTAGTGTTTTCTTTACGGTAACCTCACCAGACACCAAATTTGGGTAAATGCAAATGCAGAAGCTGGCGAAGCATTTTTATGGTTTGCTTGTAGCCGAGTTTATGTTCCCCTTCCTTCACCCTTGCCTCTGCAGGTACCTAACTTCACAGAGATTCAATCGCGCCTAGCCTACATCTCCTGCATTCGCCAGTTGGAGGAAGTCAAGGCGAGTGGTATTTGTCACTACCTCCGTCCTCCAATCGATCGTTTCATGACCCTCCAATTCGCAGCCTTCGAAGAGATTATGGTATGTTCTTCTCATTTGAAAACATTTAAGGTGGAATACTAGCATTTGCTGTCACCAAGTTCACATTTTAAATATGGAATTTCCTCGCCGTAAACTATAATATCTGCTTAAATTTTGATCTTTAGCCAAAATATTGGGTCGATTGGGCCTAATGGCATCATTTTGCATTACGATCGAGTTGAAATGTTGCGACTTTTGTAGCAGCCAGAGAAAATTATAGCTCCGTTGATGTAGTCCAAGCCGTGAATCACTCAGTCGAATGGAAACTGCAGGATGTGCCCCCTCATTTTGAGTTAATTTGAGCCATTTTAAGGCAAATTGAATAGCTAGACCTGACGTCAGGCGATGGTTTTTCGAAATATTTGACAGAGGAGTGCAGGAAGAAAAGCTTTGGCGTATTCCACCTCCATAATTCTTTACTAATCTGAGTAGGTGATGTCGCAACACAGCTTTGCGAATCGGAAGTAGCTCGATTTCATGCTTGTTAGCATCTGTATTATCGTCCATACTCTCGGTCGTCTACATTTGACCGTTGTTTTTAGTCTTCTTTTTTGTGCAGACATGGATTTTGCTCAGAGATCACCTAATAACTTTATTTAGTTTTTTGGAGAAAGTTTCGTGAACCTTCAGCCCCGGCCGAACCAGTTTAGAAGTGTAGACGACTAAAAGACCATTCGTAAGTCGTGTTTTTTGTTTTAAAAAAAGGCTGGATGGATGTCATTAGCAAAGCGAGATTCTGGGCCGTTATGTGTGTAAATGAATTAAATGTCATTGCACGTAAAACCGAAACTAAAAGATTTTACCGTTAGAACACTGATCATATCTGTCAGCTCGAAATGAATTAGAGAATGAGGTTATTGAGGCTGCCTCATACCTGAACCTGTCTAAATGCGATTTTGCCTAAGCAGTTGCTTCATTACCTGTATCTTCTTCTTTTTCCTCACAGTCGGTGGGCTACAAGTACGCTAAGGAGACACTAGCTATGTGGCAGGAGACCGGCGCCTATCAGCAGATGATCCCTGCGCTCTACAAGCGTGCTCGCTCCGGCAGCAGCAGCAGTGGTATAAGTAGCACCCATCGCAAGACGCGCTCCATCTCCATTGGTGTGACGGCTGCTGGATCCAATTCTGGCACTGCAGCAACGGTCGATGACAATGCCGAGCGGAACTCGTCTCGAGATGATTCGGGCGTCTTTGAAACTCCCATCAAACGTGTACGTCATCCTCTACCGGACTGGATTTTAAGCTTATT